ACCTGTGTATGCTAAAACAAAACTTCCCTGATGACCCTTCAACTTGGACCGTAGAGGAAGTGATCCTGTTTCTGCAGCAAGCAGATCCTGAGACACTCGCCCCTCTCGCCGACATCTTCAGGCAACATGTAATGTATCTTTTGATCTGGTTTTCCTGTCTTTGAGTTGACTTCTGTGCAGGCTCTTCAGTTGGATACTGATTAGTGTGGATGGTGGGGAACCCTATGAAGTGATTTTTCCATATGTGTGACAGGTTACTTTGCTCAAAGTTAGATCCTTAAGTGGTAGAGGCTGGATCTGTGCTGTAAATGGGTACTCAAGTACCTAAAATACTGCAGGTCTTCAAGTTCTTAAGAGAAGATGGTTCAGCACACTCACTCACTCTCAGGTGTCTTCTCCTTTGTAATGACACCTGTGACACCCCACAAAGGTGTCGTCCTAGTTATGATGCCTGATGAATCCAGCAACTGACTCCATTTGGCTCAGTTCTATTAACCTTACATGGTTATTGACAGTTGGGGATGCTGATATTGTCCTGCCATTTACAAAGTAACATGGAATAAATTTTTTATAAGTTCTAATTTCTTTAATTTCTAGTTTTACATAATAGAAAAAGCATAGAAGGTGCCTAACAAAGGGAGTACTCGGATTTCAGATCTTTTCAGACAGTGATATATGATTCAGTAAATTTTTATTTTTAAACCAGATCTCATGAAAACCAAATAATAGGCTCCAGTGGCATCAGTTGATTAATAAAGAATTTAAGAAGGTTGCCTGTGTCTATCAAGTCAAATTTTATAGTTTTTCCTAGTGGATAAAATTAGTGGCCACATATCTGATACACCCTTTTAAATAGGGTGCGAAAATCAATAATTAGTTTTGGCATCTTTTTAGCATCAGACAACTGATTAGCTCATTTACAGTTTGCATTGATGCTACCATACTCATTCCTGGCCTTTCTAAAAACATTAATGACCATCTGAAACTCATTTCTACCATTCACAGTTTTTACTCTATCATAGCTATTTTCCCTATTTTATTCATCATACAGTATTTAAAATTAGGTAATTTGACACTTAGGACATTTTTAGGATATTAGGTTAAATATCCTTTTTCTTAACATTTGAAGTAAATTTACAAATGATCAAACGATGCTTCAGCTGTACAAATTATATATTTTAATAGTTTTCATCAAGCAGATGCATATTCAGAGAATGTAGAACTGGAATGAGCTGCCCTCTAATTGATGTTACTTGTTCTTATATATAAAGAAATGGCCATTCTGATAAAATATGAAAACATTATTAATTATTGTAATTGCCTTCTCTCCATAGGACATTGATGGGGCAGCTCTGCTATTGCTCCAGAGTGAAATTATGATAAAGTATATGGGGATTAAGCTGGGGACAGCTCTGAAGGTGTGCCACTACATCGAAAGGCTTAAAGTGGAAAAAGGCATTGAAGATTGAAAAATCGTTTGTGTAGATTTACATTGGACTTAATTCTGGGAGACCAATGCATCTTGTTGTAAAATCATTCTGCCCTTAGAAATGTTTGTGTTGAAGTTTTCTCTAAAAATTTGTTATATCTGGAATCGCAGAACTACATCGCAGTTAGAAACCATTCAACACATTACTAGTAGTATATTCAAATTGGTAGTTGATTCTGGATATCTTTTTATTATTGTCATTGTATAGTTTAAAAATATACTTCATATGAGAAACACCTTTGATTTCAGTTAATGTTTATGTATAGAGCCAAAGTAGCTAAATCCCAAAGAGAAATTTAATAAGATCCATGAAAGTTTTCCTTAGAAGAGAATTTAAAGATACAACTGCAGACATCATCTCTTTCTCAAACACTTTTTGTCTGTTATAGCAGTGTTCAGTTTGTGTTCTACCCGTTTCCGAAAAGGGAATAGCCATATAAATTACTGTCCTTTTGTTATTTCTCTGTTATATTTCTTCATATTTAAAGAAAAAAATAACTTTATAAGCTTTCATAAATTGTTCCTACCAGTTTTTTGATAAATGATAAGATAGAATGGTTGTTTTATGCAATAGATCTTACAGTACAAAGGAGGTTTGGTTAGAGTCTGGTTATATTCTTTTCCATTCAATTTACATGTTGTTTTAAAACTTTAAAAAAATATTGTTGAAAGTATTACAGATGTCCTTCTTTTCCTCTGGTTCACCNTTAAAATATTTTGCATAAGCTCGGATATTTAGCCATTTATAACTCCCATCTCCCTGTGAAGATGCCTGTGTCCAAATTTTAAAAAGATGTATATTCATATGGATACTGTTTCATACTTATATTTTATTCTGTATCTGAAGTATACACACAAGTGAATCTGAATTTAAAATGGCACTTTGTACTTCTACATATAGTGAGATGTTTTTATTCTGTAATGAATATGCACATCATTTGCCATCACAAGTACTTCTCAGCTCACTCTTCAGGGTTTCCATACAGGAAAGTTCTCTGTCCTGTGCAATATATCTTTTCATTTGCTTTCTGAGCCAGTTATTCTACTAAACTTTGGAAGGTTCATTAGTTCTGATTTGTCATTTTGGACTTTAGAACTTTCAGGCAAAACATATTCATTGTTTTGTTATTTATTGCATTATTATGTTGTATGACATTAGTTGTAATATTTATAAGCTATGAGAATTGGTGCTAATTGTATTAGCCATTTGTTGTAAATGTTCGCCAGGGGCCAGCATGTACATTTTCTTTTTAGAAAACCAAGTGTCCTTTACATTTATAAACAAATGCAACGATTTGCTGGGCATATGTGATCTAAAGAGTTAGTTATCTCTTTAGAGATAGTTTATCTATGTTACTCCTTTTGTGTTAAAAGAAGAGTTAGTTTATCTATGTTACTCCTTTTGTGTTAAAAGACAAAATTCTAATTTACACTTTTAACCTCACAAATTGTTTGAAAGTGCTGTGTCCAGCTGAACAGTCCTCAGGTGTTTATACAAATACTATGTTTTACAGTTCTCAAATTTTAAAATATAATAAAGTTAAATAACTACAAAAACTAGTGTCAAAGCCTCAGTTGTGATTTTCTGTCATCTCATTCCATTTATGTATGAATTGGTTTTATTGAAAGAGAATCACTCTAGTAAGTTTGTGGTTTTATATGTCAAAATACAGTGGCACCTTGGTTTTCGAATGTAATCCATTCCGGAAGACCGAGCTCTGAAACGTTTGAAAACTGAGGACTCAACAGCCGACAGCTGGGCCTCAGGATCCTGCCCTCAGTGGAAGCCGTGTGGCATGTTCGACTTTCGAGGCGGGTTTGAAAACCAAAATGATCTTCAACAGAGACATTCGAAAACCAAGGTACCACTGGATTCTACTTTTAACACGACCTCAGTCTATGGGTGAACAGATTCCTAGGGGTAAACGGCTGGTGTCTTGCACTGTTCCCCTGGGTTCTCCTTAAACGAGAACCCAGGGGAACAGTCAGAAGCTAAATCAGTGAGCTCTGTCCACAAACCCTTTGTTACTTGCAATGTTATTGATGGAGTGAGTTTGCTAGAAAATGCCAGGGCCCCCAGATTGTCCCACCTGAGTACAGTCTGGCTGGCGATTCTGGCTGCTCCTTCACCACCAGGGCCAGAAGGCCTTAGAGGCTCAGGGTTGGGGTTGAATTGCCTTCAGCGTCTGACGACTCAGCCCACCCGCCCCAGGATCTGCTGCTCAGTGCCTCGGCTGTTGCTTCTCGACAGCCTGTCCTGTAAGTTCACTGAAGGTGACAGAGCCATAGCAGGCTCCAGAGGTGATGCTCAAGTGACTAGAATGGGACATCCGTTTGCTGTCTGAGACGGGTGATTCAGAACCATTTTCTGGTTTGTAAATTATTAGTGCAGAAAATAGCATGTTGTGTTAGCCTCCTGCAAACTTGCCAGGCTTTTAAAATAATCTTTTCTCTAGTTTTGCCTCTCAGTCCACCTTGGACACTGTGTGTGGCCAGAATTTTGCAACTAGAGCTCTGAAGCGCTCTGGGCACATTGAGCATTTGCTTTCGTCTGCGTGATTTCTGATGGTTGGAGTATCTTACAGGACATATTCCAGAGAAGGATTTCCCAGACTTTTAAATCCAGCCACCTCTGTAAGCATGAAAAAGCCATGCCTTTCTGTAATATTATTAGAAAATAAAAATTCAACACCACAACTGGGAACGGTGTAATTGGGAGGAAAAGCGCTGCTTTTTCAGTCTGCAGAAGGGATTGTACTCAGTTGGCTGAGGAAATGAAGTGCATTTACATTTTGGGGCCTGTTTCTACACTGTCATGCTGGGACCTGCTTTGTATCCATAAGTCCAGGGAATGACAGGGGCCTCTAGGGGAGGGAAACCAAACCAGGGCCCACCTTCAGAATGCATGGCAGACAGTGTTCCACTCCCTCCCGACGTTCCCCCTCTTGTCCAGCAGCTTGATGGGATTGATCCTTGAAAGCGCCTCTCCCCAGTGAGTGCAGACTCAGCTCGAGCTTGCCCACGTTTCCTGATACACACGAGACAACTCTGGTGTTACGGGACCACCTTCCCTAGCTTTAGGGGCAATATCATCACTGAGGGGAGATCCTTCAGACATAAGGGGCCGAGCTCCTCCCCTCAAGCTGCCTAGAACATCATTGAGGGGATTCAACATTCATGGAAAGGAGAGCCTCAGGCTGCTTATGATACAGCATGTGAGCGAGCCCCAAGTGGCTGTGAGTGGTGTCATAATACTTCAGTTACTCTGTGTCTTGCTCTTCAGCTGAAGGACTAAAGCCCTTAATTAAGCTCAGTCATTTGGAGAAATAACCCCTCAGAGGCAAGGGGGCGGCCAGGGCAGGGTTATGGCCTCTGCAGGCCCTGCTTCACCTTTGACCTCCCCTCTTCACCTGTCTGGGCTGGCGTGGGCTGCTCAAGTCCCTTGATGGGTGGGGGGTGGGGTGGGGGAGTCATACTCCACCAGGCACAGAAGTCAATCCTTTGGAAGCAGATTGAACATGTAGCATGCTAGGTTTATATAAGATGAGAAAAGTTAAAGCTCTTTGACATTTAATGTACAGACTGACTAATGTAAAGTGTTCTAAAGTACTGCGTGGTGGTGACAGTCATGACCACCCCAGTCCAAACTGCCCCCTGTGCTTAGAGGTACAAAGCCTGGAAGCAGCATTTCCCATACTCCCTTACCAGTGGGGTGGGTTCCACTCTACGAGCGGGAAGAAGGAAGGTCAGGAGAAGCAATCTTCCACTGCTGGCTGCTCAGGAGTCCCTTCTCAAACTCTGACTGGTCGACCTTCCTCCCAGTGTTGTCCTGCCCACTGTTTGGAGGGAAGGGTAGAAGTTCCACAGGGAGGGGTCTTTTTTTCCGCTAGTTTGAATAAACTAGTATGTTTAACCAAATGTAAAGCTTCTTTGATTGTGAGATATGCTATTGTTTTATGAACCAAATAGGAAAGAAGAATGCCACCTATAAAACTATCACCATCAGTTTCAATATGCAACCAATTTCACAGATGTTAAGATGTGAAAAAATGAGTGACTTAAGATGCATTAAAAGTTAACTCTCAGAAGCTGAACTTAGAGATTTATAGAGATCAATGTAAAGAAACTGAGAACTAAACACTGACATTGTAAGCTCAGGTGAACCGCAAAAGAACAGAGCTGGTCTGAGCTTTGTAAGAACCACAGTACAAACGAAAACATAAGCGATCTAAGTGGTCTGCCCAGGATTCACAATTATTAAGACTTTGAAATGTGAAAGTCTATCCCCTATGACAAGCAAAAAGCCTTGCCACTAATGCTAGCTAGAATGACAGCATCACAGTTAGCAAGAGGTTTAACAATTTCCTTGCATGCAGCAAGGGAAAACAAGCTGGAATGATTATAGACTAACACAGTCTTAAAGACATGACATCCAAGTGCCACACTTAGACGTTTTTTAGATCCCGATTAGAAGAAACCAACAGTAAAAACGCATTTATGAGAGAATTCAGTAAACGTAATCACCCAGTGGATATTAGACAGTGATACCCATGGTATTATGTTTTGAAAGGGGGTTGCCCTTACCTCTTAGAAATGCATACTGAAGTTTTGCAGATGAGATATCTCGGGCTGTTTTGAAAGAATCCAGCAGAGAATAGGGTGTAGATAGAATGGAATTAGCCCTGTGTTGTTTTTTGTGTATGCCAGGTGATGACGACATGGAAGAGCATTACAAAAATTTCTGTATTCTTATGTGTTTGAAAATTCCCCCAAAAAAGTTTAAGTATTCAGAATATGAAAGCAAAGCTACCTGTTTTTTTAGAGATGTCTAAATTCAAGCAAATTCTGTCCATACAGAATTGCACTAAGTTGATAATATTTAAATGCCTTCCTCAAGATTTCTTAATATTAGCTGAAAACAGTTAAGCTGAGAAACACCTGTTCTGCCTGATGTGGTTAAAAAAGAAAAGGTTGAAGTAATATATATGTTATGTATATATATTATATGTTACATATATATGTTATATATATTATATCTGTTACAT